CACACACACACACACACACACACACACACAAACACACACACACTCACGCACTCTCACGCACACACACACACTCTCTGTGCTACATGCAATACTATGGTATTCTTTGAATTACCAGACACATTATCTTTTAATTTAAGTCAAAAATACCATGGTATTATCAAAATGCCAGGGTAATACTATTTGGCTGGTACTTTTAGCACAATTACATTTACATTTAGTCATTTAGCAGATGCTTTTATCCAAAGCGACTTACAAATGAAGACAATAAAAGCAAACAAAAGAGCAATGATATATAAGTGCTGTGACAAGCTAACACAGTACACATAGCAAGGATTTATATATATTTATATATATAATAAATAAAAAGAAAACAAGAAGATAGAATAGAAAAAGAATAGGGAACGCTAGTGTTAGAGGCTTTTTTTAATAATAAAAATAAAACAAGTCAAAACAATAGAAAAAGAACAGAGAACGCTATAATGTTAGAGGGATATTTTTTATAATAAATAAAAAGAAAACAAGAAGATAGAATAGAAATAGAATAGTGAGTAAAAGTGTTAGTTCTAAATAATATTTTTTAAAAATAAAAATGCAGTCATTATCTGTGTTTATGATTTTTAATACACTCGCATAAAAATCAAGATGCATCAAAAGTCATTTCGTTTGTACTTTTTCACAGATTTCAATCAGAACTCTGTGCTGCGTTCAGCCGCGACAAAACGGTGCAAAACGTGTTTTAAACGGAAACGGTGGTGCGTTGAACACTGTTCTGATGACGCAAGAGTTGCAGCTACGGCAGCTGAGAAGCACATTCTGTGTGCTCTTTCTGAAGAATTCTCGGAGCCTGATGAAATCTCTATAAATACGTGTTTAATACTGCAAAATACGCTCGATGTTACAGCCACAGCCCTGGCCCTCCAGAATAAAGGAGAACATCCCAATCAAATGAAGGGATTTGTGGAAACTGTGGTTCCTAATTATTGTGATCCAACATTTGCTTCGCATTTCAGGACGAAAAGACAAACATTTCAGGTGAAGGATCATCCACTTCTTACCTCCGAGACTGTGTTATGATCTATACGACCTTATTATTTTCATTGCGAGTATTAGGCTTATTGCTGATCGCTGTTGTTGTGCTATGATATTGTAATATTTACCATTATATAATCAGAGGGGTATAGAAACGTTTATGAAAGTGTCCCTCCACAATGCAACAGCAAAATATATAAATATGTGTAGTATTTTTATGTCTTCGCATTTCAGGACGAAAAGACAAACATTTCAGGTGAAGGATAATCCACTTCTAACCTCCGAGACTGTGTTATGATCTATACGACCTTATTATTTTCATTGTGAGTATTAGGCTTATTGCTGATCGCTGTTGTTGTGCTATGATATTGTAATATTTACCATTATATAATCAGAGGGGTATAGAAACGTTTATGAAAGTGTCCCTCCACAATGCAACAGCAAAATATATAAATATGTGTAGTATTTTTATGTAACATTAATCAGTGTCTAGCACACAATAGAAGACATTGCAATTACTAAATGATATTTAGACAGACTTAATTAAAGACGTTCCAGATCTATACTCATGCTCGTATTATTTCAGTTATTTTGCCTTTAATGTAAATAAACATGTGCACACAATATTCTCGCTCTTGTGAATTTATTTGGATGTTAATTACATTGTGCGTGCTGTCTCTTTAATACCGCGTGGTTTATATACATGCTGCTGCTGATTGGGCTGACATTTTTGGACACACCCACCAAACAAGAGAAAAGGCATCTCAAACCCCCTTGCACACCACATGTCGTTCAAACCCGGAAACCGTAGCTAAACGGTGCGCACCGGTTTGAGCTTGAACGTGCCCCTGGTATTTTAGTGAGTCAGAGCGTCTGCGTCGTTTAAAAGCCCTTCTACCGTAAAGCTCCAAATAGCTGCGCGCATGCGCGCTCTGTAGACTGCGGCCGACTGCCTGCAGCACCCGTGTGCGGGGGTTTACGGTAGTTCGTGTTGCGCTTGAGTGCAGGAGGCATGGAGGCCATCCTGAGCTGCAGAAGGGAGGATCTGGAGGATTATTACGGGCTGCTCGGCTGCGATGAGCTCTCAACGGTGAACACACCACTTACTACAACTCTTAAAAGTTCTTCTAGGGCTTGCGTGTTATTATTTCCGCTAGTTTATTACGACAAAGTTGTATTATTATAATCGCAAAGGCAACATGTCTGCTCATTTCAGCTATTGTAAGCAATGTGAAAACATATGATAATTGCATTAACATGCATGTGACAGAATAAGAGGTTTTACACATCTAGTGATAACAGCAGAGCAGCCTGGTGAGCCTGACAGCATGCATCATGCTGGTAATAATCACTGATTAAATAGCTGGGAATGCAAACACTTGTCCATCATTGCATGCTAATCTTTGACTCAAATGTGCATCTTCCGAAGACTGAACAGATTGTCAGTGAGTTTAAAGTGAGAGCTCTGGCCTGCCATCCTGACAAACACCCAGACAACCCCAAAGCAGGTACAAACACAATCATTCATCATTCTGTGTGTTAAAAATAATACTCTGACAACACTTTGATATGATTATCATATTCATTTGAATTAGTTGCAATGACTTTTGTCCAAAAACATTCACGGTTGTGAATTTTCCAGTAGGTGGTGACCCATAAAATGCCAACTTTTGGCCAATTATTGATCTGTTTAAAAATTAATTTACAAAAAAAGTTATGTAACCCATATATTACACTGCCGTTCAAAAGTTTGGGGTCTGTAAGATTTGTGATGCTTTTTAAAGAAGTGTCTTCTGCTCATCAAGGCTGCATTTATTTGATCAGAAATACAGAAAAAAATGTAAAATTGTGAAATATTATTGCAATTTAAAATAATGGTTTTCTATGTGAATCTCTGTTAAACTGTAATATATTTCTGTGATGCGCAGCTGTATTTTCAGCATCATTACTCCAGTCTTCAGTGTCACATGATCTTCAGAAATCAGTATAATATGCTGCTTTATTACAGTTTTGCTGCTTAATATTTTAATTTAATAGATGTCTTTTCTAACAATGTAAGTCTTTATTATCACTTTTTATCAATTTAACACATGCTCGCTGAATAAAAGCATTCATTACTTTCAACAAAAAAAACTTATATTGTATATATATTGTATATGAGGTGTATATTGTTAGAAAATATTTCTATTTCAAATAAATGCTGTTCTTTTTAACTTTTTATTCATCAAAGAATCCTGAAAAATGATCACAGGTTCAAAAAAAAAAAATTTGATAATAAATCAGCATAATAACAGCATATATATATATATATATATGTGTGTGTGTGTGTGTAATAAAAACATTTAATTTACAATAAAATGTCATTTTAAAATAACTAAATGATCTAAATATAATTTATAAAAAAATGGCAAAAAAGTCATTTAGTAATTAATGCAATAAAATAAATACAACGTAAAAATACAAAAAAAAATTTTTTTTTTTAAATACTTATAATATTTAAAGATTAATTGTCAGTGTATTGTGTTGGCACGGTTTTTAAGAATGACTAAATTAATTTTTTTTATAGTTTTAATAGTTTTTATAGATTTAAATGTAGATCATATTTTTTTTGCAAATTGATTAATTAAAATATTTGTTATTATGCTATATTTATTTTTAATTATTTCTTGGTTTGCACTAAGCTAAACTAACATGATGAAACATTATTATTCACAGTAAGACCAGGAACATTAATACAGGAATCTGTCAAATCGTGTGAGTGTTTGAATCTGTTTCTCACACACTTTCTGCAGTGGAGGACTTCCAGAAGTTACAGGAGGCTAAAGAGGTTCTCACAGATGAGAAGAAAAGAAAGAATTACGATCTGTGGCTCCGAAGTCAAATTGTAATCCCGTTCAGCGAGTGGCGAGCGCTCAGTGACTCCGTTAAAACAGTGAGTGTTAGCTAGCTGATATATTCATTACATTTATAACAATTTATAATAAATGCATTACTTTTCAGTCAATGCATTGGGCTGCGAGGACCAAGAAAGAGCCGATGCTTGAGGCTGCAAAAGATCCAGATCCAGTGACTCTGGAGGAGAACCCGTCTGAACCGTCACTGCCGTCCAGTAAGACATCGAGTTTTATGACTATTTACAATTCTTCAGTTATAGATGAGTGACTGTAATGTTTCACAGGTGATCATTGGCACCACAGGTTTCGCTGGGCTGGTGAAGCTCCCTCGGGCCTTTTACAGAAGTTCAGGAATTATGAAATATAAATGCATATTTCCTGTTGCTCTGCATGCTTTTGTGTGTAAGTGCATTTATTCCATTTATAGAGTAAAGCATCAGAACTGAGCAATCATTTACTATGCTTCACCATTTCTGGCATAACATTGACTTTATCTGTCTGTTTGTTTTGTAGGATGTTGATATTAATATTCAGCAGTGACGCTTCGTATGCCTTAAATGTCCAATCAGAATTGTTTTCCTGAAATATGAGTAAACCGTGTTTTCAAGCCTGCAGATTTGCACAAGCAACGATTATAACGTTTATTTTAATTCATAATTTATTGAACGAATATATCACTAATTAAATAATATATATTAGTAGAAAATTGCATTCGATTAGAAGCCAGGAGTGTCTTAAAAATATCACTTTTTTTATTCATAAGTTTATTTTTAGAGAAAAAAAATTGTAAAAGTGTTTATGATATGAGTTCGTTGTGCAATCAGTATTTCGAGGCATATATATATATGTTATAATGTTTCTATAGTCTGTGTGTGTTGTGCTTAATTGTCAGCCAATGTTGCATAAATAAAACAATGTATTGTGGAATAAGACAAAAATGTATTAGTCATTATTTATCTTCCTCAACCGTGCGTTCATTCATTGGTCAAAGTCCAGCGGATCCTCGCTGTGATTGGTCAGTCCCATGTGTCAATCATTCTATTGGCTTTCACTGACTCTAGTGCACACTGTAGTGACCGTCAGTGGGGCACGCACAGAAGACCTAGAGTCTACAGTCAAGATGGCAAGTGCAGTCCTTCTGAGAGCCTGTCGGCTGACTCTGATGGGAAGACAGAATATTTTAATGAAAACAGCTCAGCGTGCGATGGCAGGTAAAGGTGAGAGACATTCAGGAATCTCTATAGACAACCTACTGATATTATTAATGCACGTATAAAAATAAAGCAATATGCTGTCCTGGTCTATGTTGTTGAATGAGTGACATGCTCTCTTATGCATACATGCTGTCACACAACAGAAACACAGGTAACCGCTCATTAATATCTGAAGAACACATGAAAGTAGGGGTTAAATAAGCTACACGTGACTTAGAACGTGGAGGCTCGTATGATATATACGCAGTGAGTTAAATCAAGGTCATGTGTTCTCTCTGCTGTGGAGGCCGAGCTCTGGCCTTTCTTGGCACTAAACTCATGTTGGTGTGCCAGTGACTCTGGAGCAGGGCGCCGCTTTATTCACCCGCTGGTGGGCGACACCTAGTAGACATATTCTGTCATCGCAATCTCAAGACCAAAACATTATTATTTTGTTTTTTTTGGAGAGTAAACATAAAAATATTTTTGGGAGTAACATGCTAGTGACACTAAATTAGTAACATTATTGCAGTATATACTGCTTATATAACTAATGTATAATTAGTGAATGTACATACAAGTAGGAGTAATGATTTAGACATTCAGCAGACGCTTTAAGCGACTTACAAATGAGGACGGTGGAAGCAATCAAAATCAACACAAGAGCAATGATGTGCAAGTGCTATAACAAGCCTCAGTTAGCTTAATGCAGCACACGGAGCAAGTTTTAAAAAAAACATAATAAATAAAAAGAAAACAAAAAGAAAAAAAAAAGATTAGAGAAGCTAGTTTTAGTTTTTTTTTTTTAAAGAAAACAAGCAGTTAGTAAATAAATAAGTGCAAGTCTAAACGGGGCAATTTTTTTATAAAGAATAGAATTAGAATAGAGTGCTAGAGTTAGAGGGTCGAATAAAGATGGAAGAGATTAATTTAGAATTTTGTATTCATACACACCAGGGTTATTGTAAATAACTTAACTCAAGCCATTGTTACTTGAAATAAAATGCTGAAAAACTTTTACAGCTTTTCAAAAACTGTTCATTTTCGTTTAGTTGAACTTTTAACGTAATGAAATAATTAAAATAAGAAGTATACCATACATATTTAAAGTAAAAAAAAAAGAAGTACAAAGTACAAAAATACACAACAAAGCGGCTAAAACTTTAAAATGAAAATAAACATCAAAATGTCAAAAAAATATCAAATATCACTAAAGTTTATGTTGCACAATTCAGTTTTTTCCCCACCAAAGAACAAATATTATAAAATAACACTGATATACGCTGTAAAAATTAGTTTTTGAAAAAATTATAAAACAAAGATTGAGTACTTTTTACATACTTTTCTTAAAAATTCTGCTTTTTCTTTGTAATTCATTGTGAAATTTACTTAAAATTTCTGAGTGAAAATTGTTTCTGCATCATTATTTTTCAGCATTATGTTTGTTATTAATACTTTTTTTATAAAGGTTTTTAGGGTTTTTAAAATACATTTATAGTGAAAAATTTGATTAAGTTAATTTTCTAACACTTTATAAAAACTTGAATTATTCAAATAGAATGTTGTTTCATAACAAATTGTTTCTTCTATCTCTCTGTATATGTGTATTTGTACTATAACCTTTATTAATGTTCTTTTTTTTTTCTTCGAAGATTCTTCTTTGATACCTTGAGGATAAATTTCAGATTATGATAGAATGCCATTATCATTTCAATGAGAATATTTGACTGGGGTATAATAGGTTATATTTAAATAAAAAAATGTATATGAAGTTGTTTACTGTATTCACTTACAATTAAATGAGTTTTTTTTCATTTCCCTTATTTATTTGTATCCTCCAGGGCTCTGGTTACACCCGTCCACTTTTACTCAACCATATGATTGTCCTACCATTGCTAATGTTTTCTGTTTTTCAGGTATCCCAACAGATGAAGAGCAGGCAGCGCTCACTCACGCTCGCACACACTCACTCACTCACGCTCGCACACGCTCACTCACGCTCGAACACGCTCGCGCTCGCTCACTCACACTCAAACGCTCACTCACACTCAAACACGCTCGCACACGCTACTCACACTCAAACACGCTCGCACACCCCCCCACCCAACCACGCGCACACGCTCACTCACACTCAAACACGCTCGCACACGCTCACTCACACTCGCTCGCATACGCTCACTCACACTCGCTCGCATACGCTCACTCACGCAAAACACACTCGCACACGCTCACTCACACTCAAACATGCTCGCACACGCTCACTTACACTCCAAACACGCTCGCACTCGCTCACTCACACTCAAACACACTTGCACACGCTCACTTACACTCCAACA